CGAACGTGCAAAAACCTGCCATGTAGTTGCCAGTTTTACTGAAGAGACATTTTAGTCAGCGTAGGAGGACATAGGAATGTATTTGGCACGGAAAAAACCGACATGCAACGAAATTAGACTGGCAAATAAACTCTTTTTGCTGCAGTTAGTTTTTAGCAATTGCTTTAGCATGTACGTCATCGGTTGCGGTCAAAATAGTTAATGCACGGACAGCAAAAAACGTAACGGTGCCGATCACCTGCATAAATATCGGTCGCAGATCTGAGCCGTTTAGTGATAGCTGGATCGAGCCAGCGAAAGTCACTCGTTACGACTTCCCTTACCTTCGCTTGTCATCACCTCGTGCTGTGAACCTGTTCCTCCAAAATGGCTTCCCCTGACATTGTGGGGCTGTGGGAATTCGCACAGGGCCATGCAAAGCCTCTGGAACACTCGCTGACCACTGACCGGACGACGACGACAATCCAGCGGTATGCGATTGAATTTAAACGCAAAGCTCTTCTCGCATTAATGAACCCGAATTTTGATTTTAGATTGGTTGTAGATCACTTCCACTCGAAGCTTCACCTGTTGCCATCGAGTGCAGACGTGTACGACCATTCGTAAATTTGCGTAAGGAAATAATTTTATATCCTATGCTAATTTTATGATAGAACCTTAGCAGTACTGATACATGCTGAAGGCATAAGTTAAACTTCTCATAAATAAACATTTAAATCGGATTATAACCGAGGCGTGAACCCTTCTTAGGCAACGTGGTATTAGATGCAATCGTAAATCCGTTTTTTAAAGAAAATAGACGTTTATCAACATGGTTCTGGTTTTGCATACATACCCTAATTTTTGTGCTTCTGCAAGAGAAACAAAAGGTCACCTGAGTCTGATGCGGCACTAAACATGATCCCACTGTCATTGACCCAGCCAACGAGTCGATAAGCGATACATATAATACTACAGGCACTGAAATACTGTCTTTTCCATAGCCCACTCTTTCCAGCTTCGATGTAAGTATCTGATATGATTGTAAATAAGTACATTCATGAATCATAGGTCTTTCTGATTTTGCCGCAGACAGCACAAGACGAAAAGAGAAGTATCTGTACTCCACAATTTGGCAGCCAACTTCATAGCCTCTTTCACCATTTTACAAGTGCTTAGTTGATACATTTGCCGTTTATTCAATAGTTGCGCAATCTCTTCAGTGGCTTTAAATAATAATCATTATTGATTAGTTTGTTGTCAGGAAGTTCCGTGATGAAATTACCTTGACAATTTTCAAGCTTTCATTTTTGAT